GCTATGCGCGGGGTCCGGGGAAGGGCCGGACCACAAGGGTCTATTGTACGCAGCCTTACCCTGAGAATAGATTCTCAGTATAGATTCTGAAATCAGATACTGAGAATTAAGACAGATTGAATTTCTCAAATTTTGAATACTTCAATCCAATAACCACTTAATATTTTTAGAATGTAAAGTAATAAGCAAGGATTTAGTCACTAGATGACCATATGAAATCAAAAACCATTTGCATAATGCTGCACCAAGTCAACCACTAGTCTACTACAGTAATTTCCTGAACAATACACCTGGTAGAGCTAGGGAAAACATCATTTAAGAGGCTGGATCATCATTATCTTAGAAAGCCCTACGAAGAAGAAACAAGCGTTGTTCCCTTATCCATGCATCCATTCTATTTAACCTGAAATCCTCTCCGACACCACCAGATTGCCACATTTGGTTATTAAGCAAGAACAAGAACTGCTTATCCCTAGGAGAACTAAGCATAAGTCTAAGATCTCAGGGTAGTCATTCAAAAAAGAAATGATAAAGACATAAGAGCAGATCTTATCCTTATCCATGCTGACAATCACTTAAGTGGAAGTATTCCTAATTAGTTTTTTTTAATCTCTATAGTGGAAGATTTCCTAATTAGTTATAATTGACGCATACCTGCATATGGAAATGGAGCAATGATAGATTGTATATAATGACGGTCTTCTGCCAACTTATATAGAATCAATTCAATAGCTCGCATCTGCTCCCCAAGAGTTCCAGTCACTATTACTAACCTATCATGCAGTCCTGGAAAATTGTTATCCTGAGGAGATATTTTTATGCCAGCCCGTGAGTCTTCAATAAATGATCTGTAATATAAAAAGCATCTACAATCAAAACCAATGATTTCTTTACAGCCAATATTACCAAAAGCTAGAAACTAACAACTTGTTAAAGAACTCCGCTGGTATATTTAACTGCAAGATAGACAGTTCATATGAACCTTCATCCTGTCATAAAAAACTTTATCAATAATTATATTCCCGTGATCTACTGATGGGCAATGATCTTTGTCCTAACCTTTCTAGTTGCCCCATTATGTCTTTGGTTCGTCATCTGTGTAGGGGACAGGGACCTACGCAATAGAAACATTAGCTTTTGAATAACGCATGGCCTTATACTTGCAGATTTGCACCTGATTTATATGTGACAGCTATTCTTATCTTAACTTTTCATGTTCTGAGCAACCTCTGAAGAAAAAGCACTAGCTTTCATGGAGGAAATAAGGCATATCAATCAACTATGACTAAACTCCAAAATAGTTGAGGCGATTATTGGATCACCTATATCCACTCCACTTAATTCAACTCCATTTCAATTGAGAAAAGAAAAGACAAAAAAGGGTTAAATGCTGTAAGCAGATGAGCTTTTCAAATTAGACTATGTGCTTCGTTCAAAGTCAAAAGCCCGCCTAATTCTAATTGATCCTGTTATTTTTTTTAAAAAATCTAGCAGGTTCCTGGTTGTCCAGAATTCCTTCAATTTTTTGTTAGGACTTTTCGAATTTTATTTTTTTGCGCTTGTAGTGACTCTCCAGTGAAAAGGCGTGAGACGCTGGTCATGGTGGGTCTGAGGAGAGGGAGAGGTAGGCCTAAGAAGTATTGGGGAGAAGAGATTAGGTAGGACATGGCACATTTGCAACTTACCGAGGACATGCCTCTTGATAGGAGGGCGTGGAGGTCAATAACTAGCGTAGAAGGCTAGTAGGTAGTCGAACGTATCCCTTTCTCATACCTTTGGTGTCACATATTCTTCTCGTACTTTCTTATACTTAGATTTCTATTACCAGTTGTTTCTTTCGTCTTGGTTATCTTATTACCTTGTTGTTGTTGTTACTGCTTCTTTTTCATAGTTTCATTGTATTTCTTTTCAATAATGTTGTGACGATGTTTTTCTTGAGCCGACGGTCTACTAGAAACAGCCTCTCTACCTTCACAAAGGTAGGGTCGGGTTTGTGTACACACTACCTTCCCCAGGCCCCACGTGTGGGATTATACTGGGTTAGTTGATGTTGTTGCGTTTGTAGTGACTCTGGATCTCCCTACTTTACCTGTTTACCATATCAATGCCATTTCTAACTTTGGACTTAAGTAAAGATGAGCGTTTTGTCTCCAATAAATGACACAAAAGTATGACCCCC